AAAGAATACTACTACATGATCTGACTTATACATAGAATCTGAAAAAGTTGAACTTGCAGTAATGAAGAGTAGAATGATATTTATCAGAGGTTGATCTGTGGGGAGGGAGGGAATGGAGAATTGTTGACTAATAGCTACAAAGTTTCAGACAGGAGAAATAAGCTTTGAGATCTATTCCATAGTAGAATGACTATGGTCAATAATAATGTCTTGATATTTCAGAATAATTAAGAGAATAAAAAAATATAGTTTAGTGAGGTGATGGTATGTTAATTAATTTGATTTAGTCATTTTACATGATATACTTTCATTAAAATATCACCTTATATCCCATAAATGTATACCATTATTATCTGTCAATTAAAAATATTATAAAGGAAAAATATTTCATTGTCTTTGGAGTAGATGTACAGTATTCTTTTTAAGTTGGGAGAGTTTCTTTTTCTCTTGCTTTTTGCCAAGGTTGCAGTGCTATTCATAGGCACAATCATAAAACACTACAGTTTTGAACTCCTGGGCTCAGGCAATCCTCCTGCTTCAGCCTCCCCGGTAACTAGGGCTATAGAGATGTACCAGTGCTCCTGGCTAGAGTTCGAAAAATTTGGTTAGTTTGGTTTAAGAGCTTCTTTCATTCTTCATTAATTAATATTTATTTGGTGCCTGCTGCATGGCAAACGTGGGGAATTTCAGAGATACATGAATGAACAAGAAAGTCCATAAACTCACAGAACTTACACTCTAGACCAAATACAATACACACAGGTAATACAGAAAAAGGGATAACTCTGGGTCCCATCTGACTGAATCACCTGCATTCTGTTAACCTGACAAATTACTGCCTCCCTATTATTGGGCTGGCCATTTATTCTAACCACCCCCCGCCCCCCGATAAACAATGTTGCAGTGTACTTCTGTATATAAGCTTTTTTGTGTTTCTCTGATTATTTCCTTACGTCCCCAAAGTGGAATTTCTGCATCAAAAGACAGTTTCGTCTTCATTGCTGATATTTTTATATTTTCCCTAATTGCCTTCCACAAAGCAATGTTATGGTGCACTTCCCAGGAAAAGAGAGAAGCTGAGCCCACGGCAAGCTTCCTAGCTGGAACCAGACATGCCTCTAAGCCACATGAGTTCTAGACATGGAGCTGGCCTTGGTAATAATTTTGAGAATGCACCGTCTCCTGCCACTGAGACATAGGCAGGGGCCCAACTCTGGTTTCAAAAGCATGTAGGAATCTGTAGTTAAAAGAGCTCAGTTTGAAAATTATTTTCTCCTGGAATAGAGGAAAATAGCTCTTGGCAAGTAACACGTTTTGCTCACTATATTTGTTAAGCCAGGAAACGTCTCAAAGAAAATCCATTATTATTTACACTATTTTTAAACTCTTAGCATTCAAATTGGAAAGGGTAAGAATCTGAGGGCAGTGACTCTTCTTAATTTTTCCCTATTATTAAATAAGTGCTAACTTCAAAGTTTAGTAATACTATTTAAATTATTACAGAAGTTATAAAAACAATAGTTACTATGAAAACTATTGATTCATGGTTGTATCAGTTGATATAAATGAAATATAAATTCAGTAGCAGTAAAGTTTATCAAGCATCTTTATTATTTTTTTTTTCTTTTAAGCATCTTTATTTCTTAAGGGACAATTTTCTCCCAAAGCTATTAAAAGTTCAGAGAAAGTCCTAAAGACTAAGAAGATAAATTCATTGTTCTCATTCTGTGAAACTTCACTCTATAGCAGAGATTCTATTATTGAAGTTGTAAGGATTATTTTAACAGTGAATACTTAACACTTTTTATCCCTTTGAATCCTAAAAAATGACAAAGTTCTATCCACTGATAATTAGCAAAATTACAAGGCAAGCTCTATGAAAGCAAAATAACTTCATCTATTGTGTTTATGGCAGAATACCCAGGTCCTAGAATACGAACTATGAGAGTGCATATTAGTAATTGAATCAATGAGTTAATGAACTTCCATATCCGTACCTTTCCACTTGCCCCCCACCCCAGCATCAAGACAGTCCTCTTGATTAGATTTGAGTTGTCATTTCTGATATACATTTTCCTGAAATTCTGTGTTCATGTATAATACACAGTATCTTAAATGAAGCCTGGTAGAATCCTGTACCAGGTTTCGTAGCTGGACACGGATCTTCCAGACTGGCAGGCATGACGGTGCTCCTGTTCCCCCAAAGGTGACCTATGATTTTTTTAAGATGCTTCTAAGTACAGATATTCCTTTCTTGCTCACCTTAGTTATCTTTAGGAAGGTTATACCTGCAGGAAGTTTTGTGGCAAAATCTCTCTGTGTGCCCTGTTGGGTTACTTCCCTTTGTTCCCTGAACTTTGGTAGAGGTTGTGTGTGTGGCTATTTGTCTTTCTCACACCTCAGAGATGGCAAATTTGAAATACCAAAAGACGGCAGGGCACAGTAACCCTAGCATTCTGGGAGGCCTAGGTGGGTGGATCACCTGAGCTCAGAAGTTTGAGACCAGCCTGAGCAAGAGTGAGACCTTGTCTCTACTAAACATAGAAAAACTAGCCATGTATTGTGGCTGGCACCTGTAGTCCCAGCTACTTAGGAGGCTGAGGCAAGAGGATTGCTTGCGCCCAAGAGTTTGAGCTTGTAGTGAGCTACGATGCCACAGCACTCTACCCAGGGATACAGAATGACACTCTGTCTCAAAAAACAAAAACAAACAAAAAAACAGACACTTAAAGATGATGTACCTTTCCATGCTAAACTGGGGTTCAAGGTTCACTACAGGTGTTCCAAGCTTCCATGGCCCGCAGAAACTAACACTGGTTACAGAGCTCCATCAGTTTGCTTCTCCCAAGTCCCAAAGGCTAATAGGAAGTGCTTCTTACACGCAACAAGGGTAACTGTTCACCACCTGGACTAGCTCTTTTGAGGAAGAAGTGAGAGGGGTGGTGGTAGAATAGATCTTCCTGGGAAAGAACAGTGTTCCCTTCAGAGTGTTAGGATAAGAAAGGAATAGGTAAGAGTGAAGGAAAACAGAGTCCCTGATCGCTCAATGATGACACACTCTCCAGAGACAGGAAGAATAATTACAGTAGATCTTCCTGGGAAAGAACAGTGTTCCCTTCAGAGTGTTAGGATAAGAAAGGAATAGGTAAGAGTGAAGGAAAACAGAGTCCCTGATCGCTCAATGATGACACACTCTCCAGAGACAGGAAGAATAATTACAGTGAATACATCTTCTTCTTGAGTGGCTGGAAAGATAATTTGGGATATTCTTCAATTTCTGGGGAGAGGAGGTAATAGAACAATCCCAGTTGGGATTATTTGGCATCATATATAAGCCTTGGTGGACTAGAATATGGTCTGAGGTTACCTCCTAAACACTCTTCTTCCATGGGAATGGGGATGGTGGGAGACAGAGAGAATGCTGCAGAAGACCTTAGAACAGAGACAGCCAGTGAGTGGAACAGCGTGTCATCAGTTTCTCAACAAGACTGTAATCATTGATTTCTCCAACCGGAGCAATTGTGCCACAATATAAATAGTAAATATATACAGAGCGTCCATAAAGTTCATATGCAATTTAAAATAGGTGTCTATGGACACCCTGTATATAAGTCATGAAAACATTTTGATTTCATTGACACCCTGAAAGGGTCCTGTGGGCCTCATTTCCCTAGTACATATTGGGAACAACTTTTCGAGGAGCAAGAAATGGAGTTTTAACCAGGGAGGAGCACACGAGATGCTTCTAGGGGTGCTGGCAACATTAAATTTCTTGCCCGAGTGATAACTACATAGCTTTATACTTTATAATTATTATTATAATGTACGTATAGCATTCATTTATCTTATGCACACACACAAGGAAAAAATATTTAAGATTTAGTGCTATTTGAAAGTGGTAAATGAAAGAGCTCACATGCACCTTTTAATTCTTCTGTTCATATGCACTGCTCTCTGGCCCTGTAGATGGCCACATAACCCACACTTCTGGCTAGGGTTGACAGCTTTCTATATTGCCTGGATGAGGTAGTCCCAGGTTAAAGAGAAAAGAAGCTACCTTCTCTCAAGACTGCTGGGTGCATGTCCTGGCTATGTCATCTTAAGCTTATTTTCAGCACATTAAAAAAAAAAAGTCAATATCTCTAATCCTGATTGTCTGGTATTCAGGCTTAGCCCAGGCCTGTGGAATGGTGTTTCCATACACATTTTCATGAAGAGTTTCAACTCAATCTCACAAGAAAACCACAGCTAACATTAAATAAGGAACATGGGATAGTACTTTTTGAAGTCTAAGTCACTATAGCAACACTCACTGCAGCATTTCTATAATTTATGATGAGATATTACAAATCATTCATGTCAGCTTTCAGAAAATACAAGATTCTGCTTTCTTAATTAAGAAAAAAAATAGATCTTTACTTAACGTATGATTCATCCTGCTTTCTGTTGTATTACTAATATTCATAACACTTCCAAACACAATCAGTGACATCACAGAGGTCATCAGACTTTCTCCATTAATTAAACTGGTGAGGCTTCTAGAAAGACCTATATATATTGAGAGGCAAAGAATTTTTTTAATGTGAGAAAAACATTAAATACTAAATATAAAGCAATTATATCTTATTAGTGAATAGAAGGACATTCTTAGCTATAGATTTATATCACATAATTCCCCCTACCTACTTTAAACTTCTGTCATGTTTTGAATTTCCTTTTAAGGAAATATAAGTGTATATAAATTGTAGGTTAAATCTAGATCAGCATAATAAGGTTCCAAATTAACTGTGGTCCATTTATGTTTATGTAAGTGAAATAATTATTAATAACTAGAGCTCTTAGTCCTTGTTTTAAAGCACAGATAAAAACATGAGATTATTTTTTTAAAATTCAGTGATTTGACTTTATAAATACATATTTCATAAAGTAGATGTCTTTGAGGCAAGACAGAAAACTATGATCAGAGGATACAGTAAATTCATAGACCAAGGTTTTATAACATGACATCTAAATAGAGTATTAGACAATGTTCAGATAATCTAGCAAGAGTTAGAAATTACAGACGTCTGGAGAACAGTTAGAGAACTAAAAATAGACCTGCCATTCGATCCTACAATTTCATTATTAGGTATATACCCAGAAGATAAAAAATCACATTACAATAAAGATGTTTGTATCAGAATGTTTATTGCAGCCCAATTCATAATTGCCAG